CGTGTGTATAGCGGTATGTAGGCTGGCACGCAGTGACGCAGTCAGTGCAGGGTCGGGAGATGGTGGAGGAGGGGAGCACTACTGCATGGCTGTCTGGGGCATTCTTTCTCACAGAGGAGTGCTGGTCTTTGAGGTCAGAGGCCTGTTCGTCTTGGCTGCCTGTCAGAATTTCCTCTGGACAATCACTGCTCCAGGTGGCTCTCTTGGGGTAGAAGGTGATAACCTCCCTGAATCATCAGGCCCAGAGCACAGGTCCCTGCAGCACTGTCTCTTTGTGTCACAGTGCTGGATTCGCCTCCTGAATACTGTTGGGCCCTGCTGATATCTGTAGCCACTGGGACAGTTTACCTTGTCCTGTGCCAGAACTGCTCTCTTCCTCCCCTCATGTTTATAACTTTGTCATCCCTGACTCTGAGTTCCAAAGATAAGACTAGTTGTAGTCCTGCTGAGGAACAATAAGTCATTGCTCCCACTTCCTCTCCTCAGGGTTCCTGCCCCTTAATTACCACTTGGCCGCTGTTGAGGCTGCATCTTTGTGCCATGTGTGCTGGAGACAAAAGTCCTGGTTGATTGGATGTGTACAAAAGCTGCTTGTCTCTCTTTCCTTGTTACGTGTTCTGCAGAGTGCTACAAGTGCTATCCATCCCTTTCTCTGGCCTCCTGTGAGTTTATGGAGTCTGATTGTTAGGTGTTTGTCCATTCACAGAGTACTGGGATAGCTCAGTGAGGTATACGTCATTAAAGAAGAATATTGGGGCCGGGATTCAGCATTTTTATGTGGATTCTTAGCTGGCCCTCTTTATAGGCTCTTGTGGAGCTTCCCCCAGTCCAGGCCAACAGGTCACTTGTTAACAGACAGCTGCTGCCCATATCTTTCCGTCATGAAGCCTTGGATAACTTAGTTTGGGGCAAGGGTAAAGAGTTCCTAAGTGGGGATGTTTGCCTTCCTCATCTCTGGTTAGACCTTTTGCTGTTGGAGGGGAGGTTTCAGGCCTTACAAGCAGGATGTCATGCAGCCAGGCTCTTGTGCTTTCCTCACTTGCTGATTCTTCACTGTACTGTGCTGTTGGAGTGGGCGTGAGGGCGTTGTGTGTCAGGCCATGTCTGCAGTCTCACTCCGACTTGCCCTTCCCTGTTGTTCCAAATCAAAGTGCACATCTCTCTGAGAGGAATAGGCTTCACACAAAGCTCAGGCAGTGTGCCGGAATGAGCTTCTTTTCTGGTGTGTTAACTACTTTCCCCATTGCTGGGACGCAATACCTGACACCCACAGTGTAGGGAAAAAGAGGTTTGTTTTGGTGTGTGTTTCAGAAGTTTCAGTTCTTGTGGTCAGTAACATGGTGGAAGGGCCTGCACAGAGGAAGCCACTCATGTCATGGTGAACAGGTCACAGAATGAAGAGAGGAGCCGGGAAGGAAATGCACCTTGATCAGTGTCTTACGAGTAGCGCCCCCCTTCACACCTAGCTGTCACACTGGCATAATCCAGTCACCTTTGTACAGCTCTGCCTTTGTGTGTGTGAGGCTTTGCGGGGACGCAGCTGGCAAGGAAGCAGATGTAGTCTTAGAAAAGGAGAGGCCGGGTTTTTTTTGTTTTCCTTTGTTTCTTCGTTTTTGTCTGGGATGTGTGGAAGTGGGGAGGTTTGAGGCACAGAAGACAGAAGGATCGCATATTGCTTGCGTTAGCTGACCCCCTGCTGTACTGTTTTCCTGTCAAGGCAAGAAGGCACAGGAACACTGATGAGGATGGGTGCAGAAGCAGGACTCAGCCATGGATAGATGTATTAGGTGTGAGCACGAGGCAGCTGAGATGTGTTGTTGTGCTTAATTCTTATTTGCAAAAATCTCTTTGGAGCGGCACTGTTAACCTAGAACCTGGCAGTCACTCTGAGTGAGATTGCTTGGGTTTAGGGCTGGGGATTTGTTTCACAGTTGCACTGCGCCTGCCTCAAAAGTGCAAGGTCCTGTATTCCATCCTGAGAGAGAGAGGGGAGGACAGAGGGGGAGAGAGGGAGAGAGATTGCATAGGTTTAGCAGTCATCTCCCTCACTAAGGATTCCAGGCAGAGAGGACATCTTCTCAGTAAATGTGGCTCAGACAAGTTGACCACAGATGCTCGCTGCCTGTGGTGGAGGGGGACTCTCATTTTTACCTGTCAGTTGAGCAGTGTGATAGAGAAATCACCATGTGGGAATAAATTTGGAACACTTAAGATGTCAGTTTTAGTCACATTTCTCATATTAATTGCTATGTAATTGACTTCTTTTTGCCATTTCTTATTTTAAAAGCCTTGTATGAACAGAAAGACGTGTTGGCTGGGAAGTGCTTTCTTTGAGTACACTGTCCTTGTCTGCTTTCTGCTGGGCAGGTGCTGGAGACTGGACTCGGGACCTTTGTGAGCCGAGTGCTCCATTCTTGGGCTACATCCCCAATCCTTAATCTGCTTTTTCAAAGACTTTAGATAAAGACCCAAAAGCACAACAACAAAATCAAAAATGGACAAATAGACAAGATTATATCAAGCTATGAAGCTTCTGCATAGCAAAGGAAGCAACAGAGTGCAGAGCCAAACTACAGAATTGGAAAACATTCCCAAGTTATTCATTTGAAGGGATTAATGTCTAGAATATGTAAAGGACTCAAAAAACTTAACAGCAAAATAATCCAATTGAACATGGGCAGGGCTGGAGTGTGTTCGGTGTTGGAGCACGGGGTTAACATGCATGGGGCCTTGGGTTCAGTCCCCAGCACAAAAAACAAACAAAAACAAAAGGCAAGTCATCCGAGTAGACACTTCTCAAAAGAAGAAATACAAATAGCCTGAAAATATATGAAAAGTACTTAGTATCACTAGCTATCAAGAAAATACAAATCAAAGGCTCAATGGGATGCCTTCTTACCCTATTAGAATGGTGATTATCAAAGGGTATAAAGTCTAACAGGAAAAAAAGGGAGAGAAAAATGTTATCGTAACCTAGCATGGTCATTGTATCTAAAACTACCTTGGTTTAATATAATTGTTTTATATATTTTGCCTGTTAGTCTGGTAATTAATTTGTATTTATGATAGTTGATAAAGACTTATGAAATAAGTAAATCTGGTACTGGCAAAAAAAGGGGGGGAGATTTTAAAGACTGGAGGGGAAGGCAAACAAAAGAATCGACATGTTGGGACTGGGGATTTAGCTTGGTGGCCCCTCTGCCTGCCTCGAAAACTCGAGTTTCTCAGTTCAATCCCCAGTACCAGGAAAAAAAAAAAAAATTGAGTTGTCTGATGTACATGTACAGTGTCAGTTCCCCACAATGAATGTAATCATGTGTACTATAAATGTACTAGTAAAATTTTCTTTAAAAAAAGACCACTCTGCCAGGCTCATGCCTATAATCCAAGCTACTTGGGATTAGGAGGTTGAGGTAGGAGGATCTCAAATCTGAGAATAGGCTGGGCAACTTAGTGAGACTCTGCCTTTTATTTTTTACTGCAAATTGCCGTAAAAAATAAAAGGAGCTTGGTATGTGTTGGGACACTAGAGGCCAGGCAGCCGAAGTGCTGACCCCAAGCCCCAGAATGCTGGTTCTCACCGAGTCCCGAAGGCGACGTGCTGGAGCCAAATCCCTTGACCTACAAACAACCCCCTAAACTCTGTGTTTGCTCTTGTTCCCGGTTTACACTCCCTTCTGGTCATAAACAAGATGTTGTCTTATCTTGATGTTATATTCTTAGCTTAAACAGTGTATATCTGCTTGTCGCTTCTTGTGACTGATTGTTTATCTTTCTCATGCCTCCTGGTGATTGAGATTATTGCCAGTCGCTGAGATCATGCTTGAGTGTGTGGCCTTAAAACTAATATATAACACCCGGCGTTAGAAATAAACTTTGCCGTTAGCCATCAGCTTTTGGTCATTCATTGTGTCCGCGGTCATCTTCCCGAGTCCCCTCCTCTAGAAGGAGACCTCAACAGGTGTGTAGTTCAGTGGTAGAGCGCCCCTGGGCTCAATTTCCAGTGCTAGGAAAAGAAAAACAAATGGAGAGGTGTGATCACAAATGCTGGAGAGGATGTGGAGAGAACAGAACTCTTTTCTTTTTTAGGTGCTGGGGATACAAAATCAAGGGCTTCACTCCTGCTAGCCAGAAGCATTACTGCTGAACCACATACCTAGTCCTGAATAGAGAACTCTGTGATTGTTTTGTGGTGCTGCAGGACTGTGGTACTTCCTTTGCTTTGAGGAAGGCTCCACTTAGAGCAGTGATGGTGAACCTTTTAGAAATTTCAATGATAGAAACGGCTCTCTGTGGCAGAGAATATGTCCTATGTCTAGATTATTTCACTTAACATACAGTCTTCCAGTTCCACCCATTTTACCGAAAATATTGGGGTTTCATTTTTATGGCTGAATAGTATTCCACTCAGTGTGTGTGTGTGTGTGTGTGTGTGTGTGTGTGTACACAGTTGAAAAAACCCATTCCTCCAACCAAGCTTGTTTCCATACCTTTATGCCTTGGCTACTGTGAATAGACTGCAGTTTGCAGTAACCTATTACGCATTTTATGAAGAACTAGGAGAAAGGCACTCAAAACCTACAAATGTAGAGATCATAAGGAGCTTGGCTGGTACACAGGTCTGTTATCCTGGCTCTTGGGAGAGTGAGGCCAAAGGCTCAAGAGTTCGAGGTTAGCCTGGGCTATGTAGCAAGGTCAAGTCTGGCCTGGTCTCCGTAGTGATGCCCTGTCTCAAATCCAGCCCTCCTTCCCCAAAACAGAAATATAAGGAGACAAAAATGCTAGTGGCCCAGCTACCCTGATTTGATTAATATACACTGTCTACATGTGTTAAAATAGTACAGTGTACCTCACAAATAAATGTAATAGTTATATTTTAATAAAAATGTACATAAAAGACTTTAGTAGCCCTAAGGGTTTCTGTAGAACTACTTTGCTTTCATGTAACTTAATTATGTTTTGAATAGTTTGTTAATATCCTTTTTCTTTTTCTTTTAAAGCCCTGATAAATTTGCTGAAGTTCCTTATGTCAAATGAAACTGTACTTTTGGCCAAGCACAACATTTTTACATTAACCCTTATGGTGAGTAACAAAACAAATATTTATTTTCTGAAGCCATATGCTAAGGCAGAAATGAACTGGTTTGAAACAGACTAGGTTTTAAAGAGAACCAGGCTATGTTTTCCTTATGGGTCAGAATCTTAGGTGCTGCTCCTCACTCTCATCTTTGTGGTGAACCTGGGACCCTTTGTCCTTCCAGAGAGATGATTTGGCTGGGTGTGTACAGGCAGAAGCTTGGCCCCAGCTGGAAGACCACTCTGCCTCAGTCCCATAACAAAGCCTCTTGAGGTATCTGTCAGAGGAGTGGCTCCATCTTGCCGCTTTCAGTTTCTGAGGGACATTACAGATGCCTGTTATCTGGCTGGTTGTTTTGGACAAAGGAAGCCGTGGTGCCTTTTGACTGTCTTCTTAGGGATACCCAGTTCAGGAATACTCAACATGTAGGAAAGGTCCTGATGAGCAGCATTTGTTGATTGTAGCACAGCTGGCTCTCAGCTGTCAGCATGGTGTTGATTGGTGTCACGCAGCATGGGGAGATGCACAGCACCACACCATCCTGTGGTGTTCCCTCCATGCAGGAGTAGTCTGGGGCATAGGTAACAGTAAGATAGAAAGTAATTAGAAAGTGATATGTTTTGAAAATTTATTACCTTCATTTTAATGTCATTTCTTTAATAGTTTATATGAGTGGACTTTTTTTGGTCTGTTATGTAACTGTTCTTTTTCTTTTTTGTTTTTTTTTTCTCATTGAGTTTATTGGTACATTTTAGGTATATAATACACTTACATTCATCATTGGGATCTTGTACCTTTACAAGACAGGTCTTAGTTATATGTGTGGATTTTTACCAATGGCTGTGTTTTGTAGCTGGCCTATGAAGTCCAATTCTTATAAGTCAGTTAGAGATGGCTGTAGCATATCACTGATGGTATTCTTTTGGTCTTAGTAGGCTAATGCCTGTTTGTGAACTGTTGCTTCTTTTTAGATTGTGAATCTGTTTAACATGTTTATCACATATGGTGACACATTCCTACCGACCCCCAGCAGCTATGATGAACTTTATTATGAGATTATTCGCATGCACCAGAGCTTTGACAACCTCTATTCCATGGGTAAGTGTTTTTCTTCTTACACTTCTCTCTCCATCCCGTCTGTTTTTTGACAGTCAGAGGAAAATACTACAAAAGTTTTTCTCTTGTTGGTTGATGCTGTTACTTAGCATAGAACTATAGTAGTCTCTTCTCAGGCAAATAAAGCATATGCAGGCCTTTTGCATATAGGAACTTAGGGGGGCTGGGGATTTAGCTCAGCGGTTCAGTGACCTGCCTTGCAAGCACAAGGACCCAAGTTCAATCCCCGGTACCCCCCGCAAAAAAAAGAGAGGGAGAAAGAGTTACAGAATAACAGTACTTTTAGGGCCGGGGATTTAGCTCAGTGGTTCTGCTGCCTGCCTTGCAAGCACAAGGACCTGAGTTCGATCCCCAGTACCCCCGCAAAAAAAACAAAAAAAAACACACAATTGGCATATAGGAACTTAGATTTATTTCTTCTTAGTGCAGAGCTGGTTAGCACCCTTTGTTGATGTGTGTGAAAGAGAGAGAACAGAGAGGCCTTTGGATTCAGCAAATGTCAATGAAAAGGGGGTGAAAGAGTAGGTAGGAACCGATAGTAACAATAGGAGAGCTTTGATCCCAAAGATGTGATAAAAAAGATTTTTTTTTTTTTTGGTTTTGTTTTTTGTTTTTTGTTTTTTTGAGACAGGGTCTCACTATGTAGTTGAGACTGCCCTGGAACTCACTATGTAGCCCAGGCTGGTCTTGAACTCACAGCAATCCTCCTGCCTCAGCCTCCCGAGTGCTGGGGTTATAGGCGTGCGCCCCCATGCCCAGCTAAGTACAGAATTTTTAAGGACTCTTAGTTTTCCTTTGTATTTTAGCATAATTTAAAAGAAGAAATGAACATTAGATAAAAACTTTTTGGTAATTAGCTCACTGAAAATTTTACTTTGCAACCATAGTGAGTGAGTATAAGTTATTTCTGAAAGAGGTCATAGTCCCTGCAAGTTTGAGAAAAGCACCTAGTGAGTCCTACTGGTTGTTTGTAATGTAAGAAAAGATTTTTTTTCCCCTGCTACTAGGGATGGAACCCAGGGCTTTTGCACTGAGCCACCTCCCCAGCCCCTTTTTAATTTTTTTATTTTGAGGCAGGTTCTGTCACTAAGTTGCTAAGTTGCCCAGCCTAGGCTTAAACTTGTGATCCTCCTGCCTCAGCCTCCCAGAGTGCTAGGATTGTAGGTGTGGACTATCCCCAGTTTGGAAGGATTTTTATAAATCACATAGGAAAAGGAAATCACTCAATATAACTTTTATTTTAAAATCTCTTTGTAGGCTTTATTGAGATACAGTTGACATATAATAAACTATTCGTGTTTAAAACATACAACTTTTGATAAGTTTTGCATATAAAAATGGTGAGAGTGATCAAGATAACAAACATGTCCATCACCTTCCAGAAGCATCCTTGTACCTCCCTTGAGTCCTTCTTTCGGGTCCTTCTTCCCATCTCCACCAGCCATGTCCCACCCTGGGCAGCCACTGCACTGCTTTCTGTCACTAGAGATTAGCTTGCTTTGTCTCTTTGGTTTGTTTGTTTGTTTTTTTTTTTTTTTGATAACCGGGGATTAAACTTGAGTCCTTGCTCTTGCAAGGCAGGCCACCAAACCGCTGAGCTAAATCGCCGGCCCTTGCTTTGTCTCTTATAATGTTAAGAGAATGTTCATAAAAACCTCAGCTTCTGGGCTGGAGATTTGGCTCAGTGGTTCTGTCGTCTGCCTCGCAAGTACAAGGACCCTACTTCGATCCCCGGTACCAAAAAAAAAAAACCCTGAGCTTCTGCTAGGGACTCCTGCATAATGAAAAAAAAAGAGGGAACTGGAACAGGTACCAAAAAAAAAGAATAAAAGGTTTGACTGAGGGTAAAATAAATGTTTCTAAGAGACTTTAGTGTTTGGAGTACTGGAGGAGAACTTTGATAGAACTGTTTATAACTTTGCTGCTACGATGCCTTAGATGGTGAGAGCAGGGCCTTGTATTAATAAGATGTTTTCAACTCAATATCAGAAAACTGATTTAAACTCTTAAGCAATAGGAGACTTAGTACACTTTAAAGAACTCTAAGGAAAGCCGGGCATGGTGGCGCACACCTGTAATCCCAGCACTTGGGAGGCTGAGGCAGGAGGATCTCTGTGAGTTCGAGACCAGCCTGGGTCACATAGTGAGTTCCAGGGCAGTCTCAACTACACAGTGAGACCCTGTCTCAAAAAAAAAAAGAACTCTAAGGAAGAACAATTCTAGAGTGACATCATCAGGTCTTTTCCTGTTTCTTCACTTTCTCATTCAGAATAACAGTTTTAGTATCAGGTCAGTTCTCCTCATAACAAGTTTCAATTGTCACATCAAACGCATTTTTCTTTTTAAAATATTTATTATTATTATTTTGTTTGTTTGCTTTTTGAAATGGGGTCTCCCTATCTGGCTAGAATGACTTTGAACTCACTATGAAGTCCAGGCTGGCTTTGAACTCACATGCCTCAGCCTCCTTAGTGCTGGGATTGCAGGTGTGTGCCACCACACCCAGCTCTCTCCCCTTTTTGCAGTAATAAGGATTGAGCCCAGAGCCTCCTCAATTAGCTGTATCCCCATCCACCCCTTTTTATTTTTGAGACACGGGTTCAGGTTGTTGAGTTTGTTTGTTTTGCTTCACTGGGGATTGAACCCAGGGTCTTTACACTTGAGTGACATCCTCAGTCCTTTTAGTTTTGAGACAGGGTCTCACTGGGTCACTAAGTTGCCTAGGGTTGGCTTGAACTTGTCAGCCTTCTGCCTCAGCTGCCCATGATGCTGCGATTGTAGGCAAGAACCACTATGCCTGGCTGAGAAAAACAGGTGTTTTTTTTTTTTGGTGAAGTTTTTTGAGTCATAATTTACATATACAATAAAATTCATCTTTTTGAATGTACAGTTCTGAGTTTTGACCTGTGAGTTTTATCATCCCCAAAATTCTTGTGCTCTTCTGAAGTTACCTCCTCTGCCCACCTCTAATTCCCAGCAACCACTGGTCTGTTTCTGTCGCTTGATTTTTCTTCTGCTTATGGGTCAAAGACATTGTGTTTTTTGGGGTGTGAATGCTGGATTTTTGTGATGTTCCTGTATATGAGGTTGAACATTGTTCTGACATGTGGTAATATTATGTGGAATCAGTTTGATCTTTTCTAGGTGCTCTTAAGGGTTGAGGGCAGGTCAAGAGCAACTTTTACTGTTGGCTACTATGGTCCCATTATAGCACAGTACCCATATGTAGCATCTCCCTGATACCCCAGGTCTTTCTACTCTTCTGGTGGAACATAAACTGTTTTCTTAGCAGAGCCCCTTGAGCTCCTCAGTTCCTCCTTTCTAGTGGTTCTTTGCCCTCAGCATTGGTAGTTTCCTTTGCTTTATGCATAGGTCAGTGCTCAGCAGGAGAAGGGAACCCCTCTGCAGATCCCTGGAGCTCTCAGCCTTCTCCCTGCCAGCCCCGGGCCCTGTTCCTTCTAGGTGCCTTGTACTCTACAAAGCTGATCTCTGTGTCTTCAACTTGGCCAGACATTTTGTTCAGATTCTTCCTCCCAGCCCTGCAGCCTCAAGACTCCTTCACTCAGTAAGCTAGGGTAACCATAGTTGCATCTTGAATTTTTTTCCCTTCTTCTGGGGATTACAGCACTAAACTGCTTGTTGTCCGTCTGGTAACCATTGTTTTATATTGTTTAAAAGAGGATGGTAAAGTGTGCTTTGTTAGCTCATCGTGGATGAAACAGGGAGATGTCTCCACACAGGTGAGGCACACCTGTGATGTTCCTGTGACATTTTACTGCAGTAAGTCTATGATACAGAAGGAACCTTCACAGAAGCTACTCTGAACCATATGTGATATGTTTTGAGCTGTTTATCATTTAAAAAAAAAGATAATTAGTAATACTAAAGAAAAGGCTTGAGTAAAAACTTTTAAGCCTTATAAACCCTCACTTGCTAGCGCTACCATTATTTTCATTGTTGTATTTTGGCCCAGAGGTATGCATAGTTCACATAGTTGTGATCATGATACACCCTTCTAGTTTGTTTTTGTAACCTGCATATTACACATTTTTGTACTTAAGTCTCTTTTAATGACTGCGTAGAATGTTATTTTGTGCACCATAATTTCATATATAAGTGATTGCTTTAGTTTAAGGCATATAGGGTATTTTGAAATAACTTTGTGTTTAAATTTGATAGTTTAGAAAAGAATCTAAAGAAACCAGTATTGGGACCAGGGATTTAGCTCAGTGGTGCCACTGCTAGCCTCAAAAGCACAAGGACCTGAGTTCAAGCCTCAGTACCAAAAAAAAAACAAACACCAATGTTGTTTCCAAAGGAAATGCATTGATGAGGTCATCTGGGTCCAGTTACTGAGGACAGAGCTGACAGGATGTTTTGGAGAAATGATCCATGAACCGATTGAAGAACCTCTCTGAAAACATGAGGAGAGGAAATTCAGACCAGTCCTATAAATATTTAGGTCCCTATCATTAGAGAACTAATGGTCTAGTAGAGGATCCAGTAAAAAACCAACGCATCTAAATAATTGATTTAAAAAAGACACGTCTGACCTGCTGAAATTGTTTTCTTTATTACATGAGTAAATTTGCATACACAGTCAGTAAGCCTGATTTTGTGCTGCAGAGCTCTAACTTGGAACCATCCTGCATCTCCTGCACTAGTCTTGTAAATTAGAAAAAGCAGCATTCTAATGGTTTGTTTTTACCAAGGCTTCCATCTTGTCTTCTCTGTCATAAAACCACATGTATTTATAAAACGGAGGCATTGCTAGAACAAACACAGATCTGCCAAATGAGTTTTGTTTCCTTGTCACAGCTGTGGGCCCTCCTCCTGATAGAAATGCTGCTGCTGCTGTGCTTACTTGGGAGTTGAGGGTCGGGAGCAGATGGCATTGGTACTCAGAGGTGAAGTTCCTGTGCAAACTGTCACTCATTTCTTTTCTTTCTTTTTCTTTTTTTTTTTTTTTTTTTTTTTTTTTTTTTTTTTTTTCCTGGTACTGGGGATCATGACCGTGCACTTGTGAGGCAGGCGTGGTGCCACTGAGCTAAATCCCTGGCCCATACATTTTTTAATGTTAGGCCCTGTTTCCTTCCTCTGGGAATAACTTGTTCATTCATTCATTCAGGAGGCATGCTATTAAAATTAACCTTAGTGGTGGACACTAGCCACAAGAGTACTGTGTATATTAACTCATTTAATTCTCACAGTGATCATGTCCTATAGGTATTGCTATTATTCTCCAGTACGTGGCAAGGGCTGCACCTGATCCCTGACAGCGGGCTTCAACGATCATGCTCTTTACTCACTTCTCTGCCTAAGTACAAGTTCTTGGGGTTCCCTCCAGGTTCAGATTACTGCTCTGTCACTTAGCACTTGAGCAAATGACTTCAGTCAATTGCTTGTGTTCTCTAAGACAAGTAGTTTTCTCATCTGTATGTTATGTTACATATAACCTGTGTCTAGTGCACCTATTACATACCTAGTAAATTCTCCACATAGTCACCTCTTATTAACTGGCCATTCATTAAAAACGTACACTTGAAGTGACCAGCAAGGACTTGCTTTTTTAAGGAGCACTTGTGCTTTATTTGGCTCTTTTCTAAATAACACAATTTTTCTTCAGTACTGGGGATTGGACCCAGGGCTTTCATATTGAGCTACATCCTCATCCCTTTTTGTATTTTATTTTGAGGGAGTCTTGTTAAGTCACTAAGTTGTCCTGCTGGACTTGAATTTTTATGATCCTCCTGCTTCAGCCTCCCAGAGGTAGGATCATGAGCATATACTTCCAGGACTTGTTGCATAGTTACTTTAATATGTGGCTCTGGAGATTGTAGCTCATGGAGGATGTATCCCTTTTTGTATTTTTATCATCTCTCCCCGTGGGTAAGTTTGGAAAAGAGATAGAATTTGGTCAGACAGAGAAAGGTTTTCCTGTTAATTCATTTTGCAGGTCACACAGTTAAGTCAGAGGAGCAATAACAGATCAGTCCTCGATTGAAACATGATCATTGTCTAACTGGAAAGGTTATTTGTCCTGTTTGTCTGAGTTCACCCCTTTAGGTGCAGAAAGATATATGCACAGCAGGAAGGGACATTGACTTAGCCATTCAGTTCCACTAATTTAGGCCTGTCCATGAGGGAAATGATAAATACAACACACAAGCCTCCCTCACATTCCTACCCTGTTGTAACTTTTAAATGAATGTTAAAAACTAAGTATTGGAACCCTACTAGCATGGTGTGGGCAAGAGCTGTTGGAAGGGCCCCAAGGCCAAATTACCTCCAAGTGAAGTATTTTGATAGAAAGTAAGAAATTAGAGAAAAAAATTCCCAGAGAAAATTATTGAATGAGTTTTATAAACCCTTATATTTTTCTTTAAGCTGAGGATGTTTTTAAATGAGATTGTTATGGCTGTTGTTTGGTTATTCTAATAGTACTATTCTCAGATGTGTCTTTATTCTTCATATTTGTGTTTTCTTTTTTGGGGGGACCAGGGATTGAACTTGGGACCTTGTCCTGTGAGGCAGGCAGTGGCACCACTGAGCTAAATCCCCAGCCCATATTTGTGTTTTCTGTGAGGATTTTGACAGATCTATATTCTTTCCTTCTGTACAGTCCTGAGGCTTTCTACCAATGCGGGCCAGTGGAAGGAAGCAGCTAGCAAGGTGACCCATGCATTGGTTAATATCAGGTAAGGAATGAAAATTTCTCTCTTTCGGAGTTTCATGGCTCATCCTTAGTTATACTGTACCTTTCCAAGTAGGATGCACTGAACAGCACTATTGTTTTAAGCCCTGATGTCTGTAGGAGTGGAAGAAATTGTTGTACTGGATCAAGAAAAGCAGGAATACACAGGGCTTTCATTTTGCCATATTAAAATAGCTCAGAGTGCTGGCTGTCCTGTGAATCTTCTACCAAGAGTTTTCAGGCATAATAGCTGCCAGCATATTTTCTGTGTATAAGCTATCAGAAGGCTTTTCTCTGAGGATTTCTTCTGCTGTTGGCAACTTTCATGTATGACTCATGGGAATTTAGAGCTCTGACATTTTTACTCATGGCCTTTTCTGTTTGTGGTAAACAAAAGCAGGTGGAGTCCATGGGCCTAAGCCATCATGGGTTACTTAGGAAAGATCTACAGTTACAGGCATCTCGTGTGTCAGCCATGGGGCTGGTCAGTCTTGAGGAAGCACTGCTAGTATACTCACTGCAGTGAGCTCTCAGGGAATCAGGAGGGGACTTCAGTACTGCGAAACCTAAGTATGACTTTCCTTTCATTTTTTGCTTCCTTTTTGTCTGTGATTTTCCATTTTCTCAACAGTTATTAAATTGGTTTTGTAAACAGTTGAAAAAATTAACATTGAGTAAAAGAGGCAAACCCAACAGATGGAGAATTTGATTTAGCTCCAGATGTAAGCTTTGCCAGACATTCTCGTAACAGTGATGTACATTTACAACTTGGTATAGATTCGAATGTGTAAAAGAGCTGGGATGTGATGTGTGTTTCTGTAGGTATTTTTTTCCCGTTTCTTTCTCTTCCTTTTAAAGGCAAAATTTCCTGCCTCGGCAGTGATTTACTGCAGTGTTTGGCACATGTGGGAACAAGAGGCAAAGTGTGAAATGTGTGTGTTGGGAGGGCTGGGGTGAAGGAGCATGGAGTGAGATGTGCTAACAAGATTGTTGTGAAGGCTGGCCCACCTTGCCTGTCCCCGGAGACATTTTGTAGCAAACACAATTTTATGAATTTCACAAATAAATGCCTATCTGTGCACAGCAAATAATCCAGATACTGTGGTGAGGCTTTATGATAAGTGAATTTCTGCAAGAATTGAGAATTACAAACTCTTTTGCTGCAAAATATCTCTTTGTGACCCAAGGGCAGAATGACAAATGTAGGTGTTTGAAGGAGCGCAGGTTCTAGGCTGGAGCATGAAGTGCGTGTGGGTGTCATTTCTGCCGTGTTTATTTATTCATGTATTTACGGAGACACTGCTCGCGGCTCCTGTTCAGCTGGGGCCTGTTTCTTGACCACATCCCTCTGTGCCTGCTTTATCTCTTCCTTTGATACTCTTCCTTTAAGTGGCTTCTGGCTTGGATGCTGTCCTCACTCTTCCCAAGGGCCAACAAGCACCTGATTTGAGCTTTTGGCCTTTCTCTTCTCTGAGTAACCAAGAAAGAACTGGGCTTAGCCTTGGAAAGATGCCTGTAATGTGGACCTCTTCCTTCTCTCTGAAAGCCTTCTGTCAAGCTTTTACTTTCATTTTCATTTCTCAAACTTCTCTGATGAGCTTGCTACAGAGAGTAACCCATCATTTTCACTTTTGTTAATGAATTAGAGTGTATGCCCAAAGTAGAAGAGACCAGTTCTGTTTTCTCAGTTACTGGAAAACTGTGTTTGCATCTTACCACACTAAGTCCAGATCAGGAAAGAATACTGGTGATGTTAAAGCACAGAAGTTTACCTTTTGTTCCTTTCTGACATCTTTTAACTTACACAGTGCCAGACTTTATGCTGCTTTGTCATATTCTACTTTTAATCTTCAAACACTATACAGTGTATTATGCTTGATTTTTTTTCTTTTACTTCTTAAAATAGGCTTTTTACCCCCAAGGGAATTGAATCTTTTTTTTTTTTTTTTCCAGTACAGGGGATCAAACTTGGGAAACTGAATTTTAAAGATACAGTGAATTAGCCGGGTGTGGTGATGTATGCCTGTAATCCCAGCACTCAGGAGGCTGAGGCAGGAGGATCTCTGTGGCAAGAGGATCGCTGTGAGTTCGAGACCAGCCTGGGCTACATAGTGAGTTCCAGGTCATTCTCAACTACATAGTGAGACCCTGTCTCAAAAAACAAACAACAACAACAAAAGATACACTGAATTCAGGAGGATCCCACAACTGTGTGGCAAAGCCCAGAGCTCTTTCTCTGTACCATGGTTCCTCCTTCAGTAGGTTACAGCAAAGGCTACCCCACTGGTTAGCAAAAAGATTGGCATGATGTACTGAGAGAAGCGCAAATCTGAGTTAAAAAAGATTTTAAATTTTTGTCTCTACCATTTCATTATGTGATCTTGAGCAAATTGCTCAGCTCTTCTGGATCTCTTTCTCCCATCTATAAAATGAGATTAATGGTGATAAATATTCACAGGTTAGCTGTTATAAAAGCATTCAATATAATATATAGCAAAGGTCTTATTAAGATATAAAGTTCTGGTCATTTCACTTAGCGTAATGTCTTCAAGGTTCATTCATCTTGTAGCATATATCAGAATTCCCTTCCTTCCTGGGGAATGTGGCACACACTTGTAATCCACAAGCTTTGGGGGCTGTGGCAGGAGGACTACAAGTTCAATTTTCACATGGGCAACTTAGTGAGACCCTGTTTGAATGAATGAATAAATAAATAAACGCTAGGGATGTAACTCAGTGTGAAGTCCCTGGGTTAAGTCCCTAGTACTGGCCAAACAAAAAAAAATTGCCTTCGTATTAAGCTGCATCCTGTAATTTTATATATACACCACATTTTGTTTATCTTTTCATCTGCCAGGAGACAGTTGAGTTGCTTCTACATGGGCTCCTGAGATTTTTATTTTTTTTGAGACAGGGTCTAAGTTTAAGTTGCTCAGACTGAGCTGAACTAGAATCTTCTTGCAATGCTTTGTCTACTTTCACTTCTTTCAGGCATGTACCCAGAGGGGGAGTTTCTGGGTCATATGGTAATTCTGGTTTTAATTTTTTGAAGAATTGCCATACTTTTTTAGGTTTAGCATTTTGAGCTTTCCTTTGCCTTTCCGAAGCTCTTCTTCATTTTTCCCTTCTGTTAAAAGTTGTTACTTTGACCTGAAAGGATGCTGTACTTTTCCTCACAGGTGGGCCTTGGTGGTGTTGGATGAGGCCAGTCAGGAATGTCAGGGTTTTCTTAACAGAGGATGGCAAGTGGATGTCTGAGCAGTCTGCACTTTGTGAGCCCTGCAATGAGTGTAGCTGTGTGACCATTTGCCTTTCTTTAAAAGCTTGCATTGTAGATCTATAACATGTACTAACTCTGGGTTCCAGAAAATAGGAGCCCATCCCTGGAAATCTGACCTTGGCATCTCCCATGGATGCTGTGGGATATTTAGCTATTGTTGACCAAGTTGATTATCAAGGAGAGAATATGTAAAGCCTTAGGAAAATTGTGATATTGTGCATAGCTTATTTCTGCAGTTTATAAAGGTTGTTTATGCTATCCCCATACCTGGAAAGGATTTCTAAGTCAAAGGGACCAAGTACTTTTCACCTCTCTTTATGGTATATTCTCTGACAGCCACTGGAAGGGACTGAGGCACAGGTGAAACTTCCAGACATGCGGCATTTGGGAGGCCTCCCTGGCTGGTCTGCTGGTGAGCAGCAGCTCTGTCTTGAGGGTCAGCTAGGAAGCAGTGCATCAGATGACCACCTGCAGGTGCCTCCTCAGCAGGGGAAGGACGAGAAGGCTGCAGATCTCCCTGTTCTTTGGAATTCAGGTCCTGACAGTGGAAATTAAAAGTATTTACATGTGCTACAGGCTTAAATTGTTCAAGTGTCAGTCTCTCTGCTTTTCATTTGTATTTCATGGCTTAGTCATGCTAGTTCTTTAATTGTCAAAGTTATTTGTGTTTAAACAATTTCCTTCTCTCCCTGTGTGATCCTTTTGTGAGATTTTAAAATGCACATGCTTAGAAACTATTTTTATTGGAATACCTGATGTCGTTAGCAAGCAGCCTATTTTTTCCTCAGCATAGGAGAGTTGTTCTAGTTTTTTGCTATAAGAAAAATAAGATATACTCTTACCTTTAAGGTTCCAATTTTTTTGGTATAATAGTTGGTTTAGCTACCTCCATAGATCTAATCCACAAAGGAAGAAAACTTTGAGAGTTCATTGCAGGGCTGGAAGGGAGACAGTGGGAAACTTTGCTAGATAACGTTCATGGTAAACATTTCCTGCTATCAGTTAGCAGGCTAGCCTAGTGAGGTCTTGTGCTTTAGGAAAATATCTGATTATTAACCTAATTAGTCAAAAATAATGTTAGACTAAAATCTGACCTTCATCTAACTAGATGACTTTCAAGGTAAGTAATTTGAGGCTCTTAAAGAATCTTTCCAAGTTAATACCTTAATGCTTTTCACTTAATGAGCATTTTATTAGCACCAATTTCAAAATCCTATTCTCTGACTGCTCATGGAAAGAAATAGTAGCCGAATCACTACAAATAGGTTTTTCTCCTGATCTTTAATTTTCTTAAAGTGGATAAAGTTTTAACTCTATGATAATGTACTCTTCCCTTTATTTGGAATTTTTTAGGGTGAAATTTAGTTTTTCATTCAGAATGACTTTTTAGATATTTCTGTGGTTACAAGCTTGTGGTTGGGAATGATAATTTAGTGTGTTTCTGTTTAAGTCTCTTAATAGCTCATGTAGCGAGTTTGCTTCCAGTCTCCGTTTACTCCATGGCCTTTTGGTTCAAATGCTCAGGTGGTCCTAAGCACTCTTTCTGCTACTTTTAAGTTATTTCTCTCCACCCTAAAAAAGCAAGCAAGCAAGCTAGCTATAAGTGTACACTGTGCGGAGGCTAAAGAACAAAAATAGCTTTCTGCATATTTTGAGCTTTCTAGATAAGTGAGTCCATTGAGCATAACACCCTTCAAAACAGGCATATATTGGATTTTGAATGT